TTCCTTATCTAGCCCTTGCTATGTACTTCAAATGCCTTCCCTTCCCATCCTTGTTTGCTTGGAGAAATCCACTAGTAACTCCATCTGTTAGTTCCCTGAATTAATTAGGATGGGTGAGAAATGTTATGATTAAACAATATACTGCAAAATATCAGTAGCTTAATATCAAATCCTGCACTAAATTCAGCATAGATATGCCTAAATCTGTGCCTTCCAGGTGCAGGTCCATCCCACCTTCTACTGTCTCTAATCATCAGGAGTTTCAGGACCATATTCTGGCTCATCTAACTAGTCAATGAGCAAAAAAGAGATACAGAATCACCAGGGACATTTTAGGGGCCAGATCTGAATAGGGGTACAGCTCTTCCACCTGGCTGCTAGGGGTCTGGGAAACTAAGTATTTCTTTGTGTCCAGGAGAAAATGACAAAATGATTACATGAACGCATTTCACTCTCTGAACCACGCGCCATCATTTGCTGACCTTTTTCCTGAAAATATTATTTGTTAGCCCACTTAAAAAGACTGATATTTTCAATACACCTTGATGACCTAATTAAAACACTAGCCGAAATCATTAGTCCAAACACTTTTACTATAAGTTTCATATTTATCAGGGTCCTACTGGAAGTAGTAGATTAATGAGTTGCAGCTATTTTCAGCCAGTTAATCTCTCTATGCCTCAGTTTTCTCATCTATAAAATGGAGGTAATATTGGCATCTACCTCAGTGAGTTAACATCATAATTCAAATAGTGTAAAGAGTTTAGAACACTGACTTACACATAGCATATTTTCAATAGATGTAAAAGGTACACAATGCCTAGTCTTACCATCCTCACTTTTAAGAAACATTCTGGCTATAATCATTCCAAGACAGATTTGTTCAGTGTTCTGGAAATCCAAGATAGATTTAATATCTTCACCCACACCATAATTCAAGCACATCAATTCTTCAGTTTTCCTTATACATTATCCAGCTTTTGCATGTGTATGAAGTGACTGGGCTAAGCAAATTTTAGTCCTCAAAATGACATCCTTTTTTAACATTTTATTTTATTTTAGGATCTAAAACATCTATTTTGGGCAGTACACAATTCAATCCATAATACAGCCACAGAGTGTCCACTTAAAAAGGTAATTCATACTGAATATAGAATATTTGAAAATCACAGGACAAAAAAATTAACACAACCATTATTACTTCATATTTATGGTCAAAGTCGGATTAATAAAATCCAATAGGACAAACTAGAGTTGCCCAATGGGATTTCCAAGGCTTTAAATCTTTTTTTTTTATTTACTTATTTTATTTATTTTTTATTTTAATTTTTTAATTTTAAAGAGATCTTTCGCAGCAGATTTATCCAATACAATGTATTGCTTTATTTATTGACTGCTACTTCCATGAGCATTGATGGTGGATCTGGGTAAAATAACATCCTCAAGAAATTCGATCTTTTCTCCATGTATTGGCCCAGTTGTGAGAATTTTTGTTTTCTTTATGATGAGGTGTCATCCATCTTGAAGGTGGTGATCAATGAGTGCTTCAAATACTTATTGCTCTGCATACTGATTGAATAAGTGTGGTGAAAGGATACAACCCTAACACACACCCTTTCCTGATTTTAATCCAGGTAGTATTCTCTTATTCTCCTTAAACGACTGCCTCTTGATCCAACTTTCGTCAGTAAGTGCTTCAAATTCCCTTTGCTTCCAGCAAGTAAGGTTGTGCCGTCTTCAGACTGCAGGATGTCAATGAGTCTTCCTTCAGCCCTGATGCCACGTGCTTCTTCATAGAGTCTAGCATTTCAAATGATGCAGAACCGGGAAATGCTTTGTTCTGTTACACGTAAGGTCGCAACGAATCTGAGTCAATTCAGCGACAATAACAACAATTTGTTCAACACAGAGTAAGCTTATGTACAAATTTCTAAGAAGAATATTATGTTTCCCAGATGTAAACCTATTTTATTGTTATTATTCTGAAACTACAGATCAATATTTGTAGTATTTGTTAGGTATCAAATAGAACTAGGGAGTTTTCTCATCATCATCCGTTCCCAACCCTAATCGCATTCCTCCTGAGGAGTGTGCCTAATTCATGCGGATTATTAAAGCTAAGGCCATTAAAATGCTGAGAGCAGCGACTGCATAGTGGAAGAAAGCAGTGAGTCAGCGCACACTCAGATATCATGTGAGTGCAAGGATGTTTTGGTCGTGGTTTTTTGTTGTTACTGTTGTTTATTTCTTTTTAGTTTGAATTGGGTTTTGAATGGATAAAAGCCCCTGTATTTAAAACAATCCATTTAAACATAATCTAAAATTCATAAAAAGTGTTTAAAAATTACAAATGTTGGGGACAAACAACATAAACGTGGGTAAAGGGAGACAGTAGATGGTGTGAGATATGAAAATAATAATACAGTGAACCCTCGCCACTTCGTGCATCGATTTCCGTGGCTTCACTCTATCGCGGTTTTTGCGTAACAGCGCATGCTCTGTCATTACTGCCACTGATTGGCTCATACTGTACACGCTTGATGCCATAAATAATATAATAAATAATAAATGATAATTGTAACGTCCAAAATGTTTTACTGTATTTTCCATTTTTCATTTAATAAATTGGGTAATACGAGTGTACTGGTGACTAAAGGGTGTTTTTTCATGTCCTCTATGCTCTAACTACGAAAATATTTGATTTACAAATAAGGAATCCTACTTCGTGGAATTTCATTTATCATGGTAGGGTCTAGAACCAATTAACCGCGATAAACGAGGGTTCACTGTAATTTTAAATTATCAAGGGTTCCTGAGAGAAGGAGGGTGGAGGGAAAAAATGAGGAGCTGATAACGAGGGCTCAAGTAGAAAGAAAATGTTTTGAAAAGAATGATGGCAACCTATGTATAAATGTGCTTTATATAATGGATGTGTGGATTGTTATAAGAGCTGTTAGACCCCTCAACAAAATGATTAAAAAATACAATAAAATTTTTAAATGACAAATATCTACTTTACGATGTGACTGTACGGCCGGATCAATACCAGGCTGGCTTCTAGCAGCAAGTGACCTTGAATCTCCCCCACCCATGCGGAGCTGACCAGAGCTGGCTAATGGCCCGCTTTGTTCTCTACCTGCCGCTCTGCACCCGGCACCGGCATGGCCTGTTTGGCTCAGTGCCCGCTTTGTTCTTGCCCACCACTCTGCACCTGGCACGAATACACCCGGAATCAGGAAGACACCTTACATTCCAGAAACCCGGGCACACCTGTCCATATAAGCAGCAGCCCTGTAGCCTGCAATGCGACTCCCCCAGCCCGGACATTGTGGACTGTGGGACTTTGCCCAGACTGGGTTTTTTTCTCCCTAATAAAGCCTGTTTGTTTTAATTCGACTGATTTGGTTCCTGGCGCCTCTTGACTACCTTAGAGTGACTTTTCACCGGATAATTTTATTCAGGTTTATAATCTTCATCTTTGCATGTACTTCAAATGGCCTTGGGAAATTCCCTTTCTGATTAAGAAAATATAGCACTTCAATATTGTTAAAGTTGATTTTACACTGTATACATTAGATGCTTTATATCAGATATTTTAACCTATACATTTCAAGTCACCCCCTGCCCCACCACCTCTTGGTGGCCCAGCGAACAACTGATCCGCAAACATGTTCCTTTTCTGCTTTCATGTCCCAGCGGGACATGTTTGTTTCTAATATGTTTTGAATGTTCAATTATTTCAAGAAAAGTAATTTTTCAAAATTATATCAATTATTACATTTTTCCTTTGCTGCCATTGCTAATAACTAGGATGTAGAAGCCTCTTGGAAGAATGTTCAGGATTTGCATGATTCTCTCCACAGCAGCCTGGAGAAAGGTGAGTGCCAGGAATTTTGAACTGTCTTGTTTTCTGCTTTTTTCCCCACGCTGAAAACAATGTTTAGCACAAGGCAGGTGCTCAGTAAACATTTACAGAGCAAAATAAGTAAATCTAATAGTCACAGGATGGCGAAATAAGGTCAGGTACAGAAGGGGATGGGTGTAATCAGAAACTGTCACTGTCTTCATATGTAAATGTGGAAATTAAAACCCCAAAAGGTTAACTGGCCCATGAATTGTAAACTAGGTGTCTAAACTATCTCTTGTCATTCCATCAGGCATCAACTTAGATCCTTTCACATGGAAAGGATCCCAAACCAAGGAAATTCATAAGAGCAGGGGTCTCCAGACATTCCCGCGACTGCTTTCCTTGCCTGGTTCCAACATTCCCGGCTGCCATTCATCCTGGAGACCTCCAAGGTCAGTCCTGTTGGAAGTCCACTCACTCACTCTTTGCTGTGAGGTCCTAAAGTGGGAAACCTTCTGAAAGAAACTAAGAAAACCTGGAGTCTGCTGGGCGCTCCACTTGTGTGACTTTGGGTGAGTCCCTTATTTATCCATCTGCCCTATGAGACCATGAAGTGCAAAGCTTCATAAAAGTAAAGTGCCTGGAGAATCCCAACAGAGAAGGGAATGAACTTCATCCCGCATTGTTCTAGTCAGCGTAAAGTATTATGTCATTTCATATAGTGGTTCTACGGTATTCTCTCATTTGGGTATATAAGGCATTGTCCCATTTAATATAATGGACAATTCATATAATTATCCATTACATAGAGGAGATACCTGGACTTCAAAAGATTCTCTCATTCACACAATCTTACCGGTTTTCCTAAATGAGGGAGCAAGTGTAACATCCCTGCAATATATATTAAGAGCCTCTTGGACTGTCATCTCCCAGAGGACAAGGAATACATCATGCTTTTGCTGATATCTCCAACACCTCCCTCATTGTTGATACTCCAAAAATATTTGACAAATGAAGGATTGAACGAATGTGTTACTGCTATGAAAAGAGCGGGGAGAGAAGTTCCATCACTTGCATCAAACAGGGCATGTGAAGCCAGTGTCAGATGCGACCCAAGAGGAAGCCTCTGGGTAAATGGAGATTGCCGGGAGTGTCACTGCTTCTCTGGGTTCCCCTGGATCCTAAACACTTTCCTCATGGCATTCTTCACCTCGTTGTTTCTCAACGTGTAGATCAGCGGATTCAACAAGGGTGGCATCACAATGTTGAAGAGGATGACGAGTTTGTCGGCCGCCAAGGTGGTGGAAGGACGAATGTACATGAACATAGGGGGCACAAGGACCAAGAGGACAGTGATAATATGTGAGCCGCATGTGGACAGAGCCTTGCGCCGGCCCTCAGATGACCGGCTTCTCAGGTGTAGTAAGATGACCACGTAGGAGATGATGAGAAGGAAGAAGGAAACTAAAGAGATCATGCCACTGTTGGCCACCACAATGAGCCCCACCACGTAGGTGTCTGCACAGGCAAGCTTCAGCAGGGGGTGGACGTCACAGAAAAAGTTGTCAATCTCATTGGGTCCACAAAATGGCAGCTGGACAGTGAGGAGGGTCTGCAAGATAGAATGCAAGAAGCCAGCGAGCCAAGAGGCTCCTGCCAGGAGACTACACTTCCTGCGATCCATGATGGTTGTATAGTGCAGAGGCCTACAGATGGCCACGTAGCGGTCATAGGCCATGGCTGTAAGGAGGAAGATCTCAGTGCCGCCAAAGAAGTGGGCAGAAAAGAGCTGAGTCATGCAGCCATTGAAGGAGATGGTTTTGCGCTCCACAAAGGTGTCTGCTATCATCTTGGGTGTGGTAGCAGATGGGTAGCACATGTCAGCAAAAGACAGATGGCTAAGGAAGAAATACATGGGAGCCTTCAGTGTCTTGCTGGCATTGATGGTGACGATGACCAGAAGGTTTCCCAGGACGGTGCACACATGAAAGAGGGAGAAGATTACAAAGCAAGCATGCTGCATTTCTCTGCTCTGGAAAAGGCCGAATAACACAAACTCTGTCACGTTGTTCTTGGTGCCCATGGATTCTCTGCCTCAAACACCAAAAAAGTAATTGTCTCTCTGAAACGACAAAAATTACAGAAAGATCATACCATTTGCCATGCCTAGAAAGTCAGAAAATCAGTTCTCATGCCCCAGCTGTGCTGTATACGATGAACTCTGACAAATCCATTCGTTCTTCGGGACATCTGTTTCTCAGGATAGATCTCTAACTTCCATATCTCCACTTCATCTGGTACACAGTCCTCGTGATGCTCAGAACATTGTTTGGTAGTTAGTTATGTATATGTCTACTCTCTCCTCTGGGCTGGGAGTTGCTTCAAAGCATGGTCCCTGACCTCTGGTGTCTTGTTATGACTGTCTGGTAATGACTATGCCCTAGTGGCATAATGGTTTATACCCTGGGCTACTAGCCACAAGATAAACAGCTCAAACCACCTGTCGCTCCATGGGAGAAAGATGAGGCTTTCTACTGCAGTAAAGATGTACAGTCTTAGAAACCAATAGGGGCAAGTCTACCCTGCCCTATAGAGTCACTGTGAGGCAGAATCAACTGGATGATGGTGAGTTTTTGAGTAATAACTAGTTCAATATTTGGCACACAGTATACATTCAGTAAATGTCTTTGGAATAAAGAAATGAATAAATTAATCTACTTCAGCATTCCAAAACTCAATTCCCTAGCTTCCCCTCCCCCCACCCAAAAAAAAAGCTGTATGCTTCTGGTAGTTTTCTATGTCAGCTGATGTAAGCACTACTCTGTTTGCTCGCCTAAAAACCCTGAAGTCATTCTAAGTTCATCTTTCCCTCGTATCTCATAGCTAATCCATTAAGAAATCATGTATCTTTACCTTCAATATGTAACCAGAATCTAACTGCTTCCCATCACCTGTATAGTCACCACCCTGAGGCACAATCATTTCTTTCCTGCTTCATAAATGCTCTCCTTGATTGCTCTCTTAATACATATCACACCCCCAGTGTATAGTCACAAAAGCAGCCAGAATGCTCCCCACCCCTACAGTTGCTCAGCATACCATCCTCTTTACCACGGCCTACATAATCCTACATAATCAAGTCTCCATAGTCTCTCTGACCTCATGGCCTCCCACTCCTCATCCCTTCTTTTTCTGGGACTATACTGACTGCTACCACATTCTTCAGACTCACAAGACATGTGGTCACTTTGTGATCTTTGCACTGGTTATTCCTCCACCTGTAACCTTCTTCCCCTCAGTATCTGTGTGCTAACTCTCTCACCTCCCTGAAGTCTTTGAAAATACCACTTCTTCAAGAAAGCTCTTTGACTTCCTTACTTAGAATTTAGCCCTTATTTAGAATGTAAACCTCTCAGCATCCCTGATCCCCTTTTCCCTACACTGATTTTTCTTCTTTCCATAGCACGTGTTGCCTCAAGACTACACTAGAAAGAGAAGAAAAGAAAAGCCAGCCACCATTGAGACCGTTCTGAGTTCTAGCAACTCTCTATAGGGGTTCCAAGGCTGTAAATCTTGAGAGTAGCAGGTGGCCTCATCTTTTTCCCATGGAACCACTGCTAGGTTTGAACTCCTGACTTCGTGATTAGCAATCCAACACTTACCCAGCAGCACCACTAGGGCTCTATATGGCATACTATAGTTATTTATTTGTTGCATGTTTTATCATGTGCCTTTTCCCACTGGGATAAAAGTTCCTTGAGGAAGGCCTCATTATCTTTTTTGTTCTCTAATACATTTCAAGTGTCTAGACTATTGTCTGGCACAAATAATATCTCTTGGGTAAATGAATGATAGTTAAGGAGGATAAAAAATGATGAAAACAACATATTCGTGTATTTTACAATTGCACAGAATCTCATTTCACTTAGCTAATATTTACCAAGTAGCTAATAGGTGCCAGAAGCTCTGGTAGCTTAGTGATTGCACATTGGGCTGCAATTCACAAGGTCAGAAGTTTGAAGCCACCAGCCAGCTTCTCGGGAGAAAGTCAGTACATTCTACTCCGATAAACACTTACAGTCTCAGCAACTCACAGGGGTAATTCTACTCTGTACTCTAGGGTCTCAATGAGTCAGCATTGACTCCATGATGATGAACTTGATTTTGAGTTTAATACGTTTGTACCAGTCAGAGACTAAGCTCCTTAAATATATCACATCAAATCAAAGCAGCGAGATTTGGAAATGCACATTATCTTATCCTCTCAATTTACATAGGCAGGCTCTGATGCTAACGGGGTGATTTGTTCAAGAATACAGAGTCAGACTAACACCCACAACTCTTTCTTTATGCAACAACTAATATAATGTACATGGAAATCATCCTATTGTCTAGAAACAGTGAAGTTCTCCATAAATACTTACCCTGGAAATGCAGTGTCAGAGCACGAATGGACCAAAGACAGACTCATGAAAATAATGCAAGCATGGTACAAAAATAATAAGTAAATGAAAAACAAAAAATTCATTCATGTAAATAAGTGACATAGCACACTTAAAATAACACAGTGGGGACTGCAAGGTTGGCCAAAAGATATCATGTTTAGGTGACTTGTTTAAAAGTACGATAGCTTTATGAATAAATTATTATGAGGTAATTAATTTCAGGACAGTTATAGGCTTTCCAGCAAGATGGAAAACTCAGCAACTGTACTACCAAAACCCTCTACAATGAATATCAATGCGTCCAAATGAAACAGATAAGGGTGGTAATCCAGGAGCCCTCGACTTGATGGGAAAAGATAGAGAACTAGGTCGAATATTGGCTAGGAGAACCAGCTAAAGAAAAGCAGCAACAGAAGAGACAGATGGGTGGATGGTCAGCTGGCCTAATGTGGCATTCCATTGAGATAGTGGCCTGGCATAACAGTAGTTGGCGACAGTAGCTGGATTCCCCCTGTTCCTCACTCCTCCTGGTGACCAGAAGTATAGCCAATGACCACCCTCACCCAGCCAACATCTGGCGACACTCCCTTGTTCTGCCCCTGTTCTGCTTGATGTAAAAGCCACGCACTCATGTAACAGAACCCAGATGCATCGCCCTCATGTCTGGAGGTGCATGAACTCTGTCTCAAAAACCCAGCAGGACACACAGTGCTGGATCCCTGGCCACTCCTTCACCAGCAAGACCTCCTTCTATAACCAGCTGCCCTGCCCCCAGGTACCTCCTGATCTAGAAGAATCCCTTCCAAGGACAAGCGCACTAACCTTAGCAATCATATGAGGTAGCACAACTACTTCCAGGTAAGGCATCTCAATCATAAACAATATACAGGCCAGAAAGAACTCTACGTGGGACCTGACCTCCCACTCCTCCCCTCCCCCTCACTCCATGATCTCCTTGACTGGCAGAGGGTGCTGACCCAATACAAACTGCCCTACCCGCTGTCTTGGTTATTTCCCCCGCTTTTCTTTCACTTCCGTTGTTTTGTACCCTTTATTTCTCTGCTTTCTGTTTTCCTTTCTTTTCCTCATTCCTCTTCTCTATTCTCCCTCACTTTTTCTCTTAGTTTTTTCTTTACTACGTCATTTTCTTTCTCTTTAGTTTTCATTCATTTGCTTATATTTCTTACTTTTTTCTTTTTTGTTTTTCTCTTCCCGTTTTTATGTTCCTTACATTTTTACAATATTTTTAGTTATTAAATTAATTTGGTGATGTTCTTTGCCTTCTTTGACCTGCTTGTCTTTTGCTATTAAATGATTTCTTTTTTGTTGGTGATATTTTTTCTCTCTTTTTTTCTTTTCTCCTATCCCACCTGGCAACAGACCACACCCATGTCTGCACAGGACTGTCACACACGTGCATCTTGTAGTCCCACCTACTTGACAAGGGCCACTAGTCATTCTTGTGCCACCTGACCATCAATAGACAGCACAAACATCAGTCAATTCTTCCCTCAACTGAGCTATGCAAAGGGTGAACAGAGAACTGCACACACAATCACCTTCTCTGTCATATCTCTATCACAAGGAGACAGGTGGTGAGTGCCTAAGAATACACTAACATACAACTCTAGAAATACCAAAATATCTCAGGGGGTAAAACACAATTTAAGTTCACAAAAGGAAAAAACAAGTCGGAGTGGCTAAAATGTGTGAACAAAGCATAAAGTCAGAAGATATTTCTGAGAAAGAAATTGCATTAGAAGATAAGGCGTTCAAAAGAATATTTAGGTACTTTCAAAGAATTGACAGAAAGAGAAAGCTGTCAACAAAATCAAGGAAAACACAGAAAAATCTTCAGAAGAATTCAAGGAAAACACAACAGAAACAAAATGACAAAATTAATGAAAATTTGGAATCCATACTAAAATAGCAAATGGAAATCCAGAATATCTGGACTAAGGATAGTCCATTGAAAGAGCAACAGGGAGGGGCCAGTGTGGGAATGGAGCATAACAGATCAGTAAAGCTGAGCCACAGAGCCCCTGAGGAGCCCCAAGAATGTACTTTGGGCTAGGAGGGGTATCTCCCAGATCTCCCTGAGGCCCAGTGGGGAGGGTCTCATGGGGAACAGCAAACAGACTTGGACCTATGCAGGGTTTGGGTTTTTTTCTTTTTCTTTCTGCTTTTTTTTTTCTCTCATCTTTTTCTCTTTCCTTGTCTTTCTTCAACCGTATGTTTTCTTATTGTTCAGATTAGGACATGGATGGTTTGCCTAATTATACAGGTTGGACCATGGGAGGGAAACCTGGGGAGAAGGCAATGGGGCCAAGAAGAAGGTGGGGAGAAGGATGTGTGAGCAGACAGCATCATGGATGGGGAACAACTAGGGAAGTGGAACCAGCATCTAGGAGAGGGTAGAGAGCCTGTGAGGATTAGAGCAACACCAAGGTAGTGGAGAGGAAGCACAAAGAGGTGGAAGGAGGGGGAAAGTGATGGCGGGGCAGGAGGGGGCAAAAGGAAACAGAGGCAAGCTCTAGGAAGCAAAGGCATAGGTAGGGAGAATAACAGAGGTGTGCATTTATGTAAATACATTAATCATAACAATAGTGGTATTGACCTATGAACATATATTTATAAA